ATGATCTAGCCAAAGAGAAGAAAACATAGGGAATGGGGCAACTACTTCCTAGGTGAAAATAGGAGCATAATATAAACAAGTACCATGGAATATTAATGCTGAATTTAAACAATCATTCAATTTCATTTCTATGGTTAAGATTTGCCTACATGTTAGTTCCTATATTCATGCAAACTGAGAACTTACAACTTCCACCAAAGAAATATGTATTAAGGAAAGTAATATCAATATAATTGAGCCAAAGATAAGCAAAGTGAGAACCAGAATCAGAATAGTCAATGTGCATCAATAATTAGTAGTCACAGCATGATCAGTGACACTGACACTTTATTCCTGTTGGCATTTTTTTACCGAATTATTACAAAAACACTATAAAATGCAAGTCCAAATACTTATCAAAATTCAAAACTCATAACTGCAATTAAGTCTTCCATAACTACCAAAGAAAGAAATGTCAAATAACTAATCATATTAAAAGACCAAGCTATATATGACCTCAGTGCATTCCAATTACCATCTAAATAAAAATATAAAGCTCAAAAGTTTTTCCCTCAATTCAATTAAGCAAAGATAAAAGAAGTTCTTACTTTTCGGGATAAGGATTCCCTTGAAGGCGTCTTGGTGTAGATTATAGAACCTCGCCGAGTAAAGGAACTGCTAGCTTTCCGTTCCTAATCCAATTCAATTGGAAACATCAAACCCAAGAAAATAAAAACCATGGCTTTCATTCTTGAATGGACTCTTTTCAGTTTCCCAAAGTAAAACGAAGCAAAGGGTAAATGCGTTCCTCTCCAATTCCTTCCCTTTTCACTTCCCTTCTAAGTTTCTTGAAAGCCAATTGCTCCAACTTAATTACTCAAGCAAGAAAATAATTCTTTTTTTGGAAAAAGAAAAGTAGAAGCTAACCACAGTTATCTTCAGTTTTCCTTCCTTGACACATCTGAAATTAAACCAATAAATTTAACTCCTTTCACATTCCCCATTATCATTTTCTCACTGACCAAACAAAAGCCAAGAAATTTGGAAAAAGAAATTACAAATTATATGCAAATCCATTTCAGCACAGAGAGGGAGAGAATTACGATGAGAGACTGAACAAGAGGGATCATCTCGACTAGATCGTTATAAAGGACGCGATCCACATTGCCGTTCGCGGCGGAGTTAGAGAGTGAAGACTGAATTCGACGGTTAGTCGGCGACGAGTCAACCTCCCCCGACAACCATGAATTCTGATCCCCAAAACCTGAATTTTCCTGCAAATCCACGAAATGCTGTGGCTCGAACATCGTTCTCTTCGATTCTGGAACTGAAGATCGATTGCAATAGATATTACTAGAAATCAGGGGAAAAAAAGGGAATAAATTTTTTTTCTGAGAAAGAAGGACAAGCTAACGGTGCAGTGTAACTTTTTTTTTTTGAAAAAAACTTTTCCGTATTTTGGAAGGTAAAATATAGGATTACTAGAATATCCTTTAACTTTGGCTTTAACTACAATAAAGTCTCATAACGGCTATAGAGGCCCAAGAGTACTGAATATGAAATTCTAAATCCAATAATGATGAATGGTCCAATCCATTGTTTTAACAGCTTAACTCCAGGTATCGATTTTTAAGGCTAAAGTGCATTAACCTCGAGATTGGATTTACTGATAAGTAGGTATTGTTTTTTTAAACTCGAAATCTTCTTTCTTAGTACAATGCAGGGGATGGAAAAGTACCTTTAATTCATCTTCTGTATATCGTGTCAAGTTTGTAATGGACTTTAATCTTAGCTGTCTTTCTTTTATGGCAGATGAGCGCCTGGAAATTCTGATTGTGTTACTACCAAAATTCATTGTTGGCTCAAGAATATTGTTCTTTCTGGCTCGTGCCAAGTTTGAAACTCGGTAAGTTTATAAAATGAAATCATGTTTTTTCTGTGGATGAATAAAAATTTCTTTAGAGCAAGCACACATCAATTCTAGACTTTTTTGTTTTCATATATACCACCCATTTGTGTACCTAACGGATGGTTATACAGAATCCATATGTGGGTGCATTTGGCCCGGCCAACTAATTACTAGTCTTTTAAATCCCGTGACCATTTTGAAGAAAAAATGAGTGTTGAACGGGCAGAAAGGAGACAGATAGTCAGGTTTCCAGCTCTTGACGGTTTCATGGCTCGGCCAATGATGTAGAAAGAAGGAAGGAGACTTCATAGAAACTTGGGGGCAAATGATGTAGAAAGAAGTGAGGAAGGAAAGAAACTTCATAGAAACTGAGCCTTTTCCAATCCTAACAGACCGGAGTTGGTTTTGTTTCTTCAAGAGAGTGATTACCAGTTTTGTTGAGGACATTTTGATGGAGAGGGAAAACCCTTTAGTGAAAAGAAATATGTCAAGTTTTAGCGTATTTAGTGGGAAAAGCATCCCTTCCAATCTTCAGAGTGATAATCAAAAGGCGGTGCCATCAACTGCTCTAGAGAATCTGATGAAAGAAAGTGAAGATTTAAATACAAGAGATGGTCATTCTTCCAATGGTGAAGAACGGGGTGAAACCCAAATTCAGCATTCTGATTCATCATTGTCCACCATAAATAGCCCTGATGACTCTCCACAAAATGGAAATCTTAAGCATTGCAGAATCGAGAGCTCGTCAGGGCATGAAGATGCGATGTCAAGAAGCCTAACAGGTTCAACTCAAAGCTTCATTGACCACCTTGCACAAGAAGAATTCAGCTCCACTGCAGTTGGACCTCATTTTCACCCGTTTCCATGCTCCAGTAGCGTTTCTATCAGGTCAAATAGCAGCACTGCCAGCTCCCAATCTTTTGCATTTCCAATGTAAGTCCCCCTTCAGCAATACTCTTTCTTTTTCTATAACTGTCCTACACAAGCAAGTGGAAGTGAGTCTTCAGATTCTTAATACAACAATCAAAGAACTAAATCATGCTTCTCCTTGGTTATATTAAGTTTTGTGGATGATTATTTGTATGAATTTTATATGAACAGATTGCAATCAGAGTGGAATGATAGCCCTGTTAGAATGGCAAAACCTGATCAGAAACAAATGAGAAAGCAACAAAGTTGGAAGATTTGTTTCCTCTGTTGTAAATTCTGAAACTGTGTTGGTGTGATCACAGTTGATAGAATTTCTCCTATTTGAACTGTAATTGGTCTGTATATTGTAATGATTGAGTTAATCTAATAGAAAGTGGCATTACTTCCCACTGAACGAATTGCAAATTCTGTTTTTTTGTACATCAAGAGCTATATAAATGAGGATAGTAATTTTTTATTACAAACCCCTCTCTATGACTATTCGTCTAAAGGTTAGAACACAAGACTTTAATTCCAAACCGCTAAGATATCCATTAGGGAATGGATTGCAGATCATTGTTGCAACAAAAATATTATTTCACCAATATTTGGTAGATTGGTGGTGTGGATGATGAAGAATTTTGCAGAATGTGGCACATATCCTTGGGCCAAACTGGCCAGCGAATTGCAAGCTAAAATCAACAAAATTTTGGAAGTGGGTTTGTGGTAGTGACACGATCTATCAGTTAGGCCAAACATTAATCATTTAGGGGCAAGATAACTATGTTTGCCTAATCTGTTTCCTGCAATGGTCCTCCAAATTCAATCCTGCTTTCCAAAATCCTCACACAGACCGGCATTATGGAATTCGTATACCCAACAGATAGAAAAAGATCTTAAATTCGGGTGTTTCGATCAACATATAAGGAGGTGTATGAATCAAGGGAAGGGAGAAAGCATCATAAATTCAAGTTTAAATCCATGTCCTCCAAATGGTCATTTAGATGAAGAGATTTTGTGGTCACCTTGATGATGACAATTAAGATCAAAATGTCAGGTAGAATTGGAGCCCAGATAGGACCCAGTTGATCTGGAAACCATAATGGTTGATTAATGGCGGACCGATTGCATTGCATTCCACCAAAATCAGTACCTAACTTTGAGTCACCATCCATATTCACCCTGAAAGCAATCTTCTGGACCAACAATGGTCTATTCTCTGCCCTCCTGGTGAAGATTTTTTTAATTTGAATGATCCTTTCAATGGCCAAATCGGACAATTTTTAGTATATTTGGTATCAACATCTGGTATCCTTGCACTCAGACTGCACTATTACTCACAATTTGACATTGCCATTTAGCAGTTCAAGCAGTCCATACACATTTTAGTCATTAACGTTTTGTTAAAGATCAACCAAATGGGAGCTTTTCAATTCTCCAACATTCAGCCTATAGATCCAATATGTTTTTCTTAGAGTCAGGTGATATTATAGATAATTTTCATGCACCATATTAAATCCATCTCCCCAGTCTAGTTAAAAATAAGTCATTCATATCGGGATTAGAAAATTATTAAAGAATAATAATCTCCTCATTATTCTCCCTAGGATATTAAATACCAATCAACAAGGTAAAAGCAAACTCTCTTATCAACTAATTCAATGCCACTTTGGTAATCCATTCTGATTTTTAATCACTGTTGTTTCCTCCTTTGAGGAGCTGAGCGCGGGGTGAGAGTTGATCACAGTGCTGCAAGAATGGTGCAGACTAGAGGATAACAATCATAAGAACCCACATGACACACAGGGCAAATGGGCAATTGTATCTGTCGTTTTTATCAGGAAACACTGCTGATGTTGTCTTGAATTGTTTCCACCGCCACATGTTGGTCTACTATCCTCCACAAGCAACATAACATCAAAGCTAGCAAGACTCTCTGACCCTCCTTCCTACCCTGACCATCAACCCCCCCTCTAGCCAAGTTGATGAAAGTGCCAACCTAACAGCCCATCTAGATTTATATTTCAACGCTAGGCATTCATCACATTCACTACCAGACTCCATACCTCTACCAAGTAAGAACAACCCCTCTCTTGTCATTATACAGTATAAAAGAAATACAAGAGATACTTTAACCCGAATATAATATAAATTCACTAATAAAATTAACGACCACCAACTTGACCAAAAAAAACTATACACAATGCTCCACAACATCTCAACAAAAAGGCAGAGCAAACAGAAAGAAACAACAAGAAAGCACAGAACTATAAGGAAATAATGAACAGAGAAGCCAAACTCTGACGAGCATGTTTGGTTGATAAAGACACCGATGAACTTGTAAATGTATAAGATACCAACCCAAGAAGAGACATTGAGGTATGGCCATCTCTCTCCACAACAGATGCCAATCTCTGCTTCCTCACGATTATTGCCTGCAGAGATCCTCCTGGATCGACCCCAACAAAATGCATGGCTCATGAGTCATAGGTTAGCTTGATCAGATCGCTTCTGCACATGCATTGGCCCCCACATTCACCAATTTGCTAGTAACCACCACCCACCGACTGCGGGTCCCCATCTCCATGTCACCACCCCCCCCCCCACACGACCCATCAATACACCCTGATGAGCACTCAAAATCCCTGGACCCCCACGAGCTACGACAAACCGATCCCTACCAGGTCAGCCCACGTGGCCCCAATCCTTTGGGACGCAGACCCTTGTCTCACTCCGCCACGTGGAGTCATAATCGCGCATGCGACTGGTCATAACTACACTGGCCCCACCACCAACTCGACTTTGACGCTGGCACAGTAATCGTATTGCGGAATAACTCTCTTCTACGTACCTATAGTTAAACTCACTTCTCGACATGAGGTTTGATCTGAACTTTGATTAGGGATTAGTATTGAGTTAGTTACACCTTAGGAAATTAAAATTTTACTCTTTCCACTTCAATTTTAGTAATTTTAATTTAAGTTTTTTTTTTTACTTTTTAAAT